CTTGGTCTTACTGGCATTCAGGACCAAGTTATTATTATTATTCTGATATGCATAACTTTATGAAGTTTATTTCAAGCCTTTTAATATATGAATCAGAAAATAGAAGTTGGGGATGGACAAGAATTCACATTGGATAGATGAATACCTTAGCTCAGAGAGCAGAACTAAAGAAAAAAAGGAAAGGGAAAGGGAAAGGGAAAGGAAAAGGAAAAGGAAAAGGAAAAGGAAAAGGAAAAGGAAAAGAAAGGAAAGGAAAGGAAAGGAATGGAATGGAATGGAATGGAATGGAATGGAAAGGAAAGGAAAGGAAAGGAAAAGAAAGGAAAAGAAAGGAAAAGAAAAAAGAAAAGGAAGCTCTTACTTGGATTTCTATGTGGCCCTCTGTTTTCTGTTGTTTGTTACACCATTTTTTTCCTTGAAGAATGAGAAGGTATAACAAGCTTTGAAAAGTGAAGATACTGGCCTGTTTCCTATTGTTATTAATCATCTCTCATGCTTACACCTGTAAATCACTTGAGTTCTTCTGATGTTTGGGCTATAGCTCCCTAAACAGCTTGATAGTATCAAGGTAGATAAGCTAATGATCTGATTTAGTGAAGGACTTACTTACTCATTTGTTTACTTATTAGATTTAAATTCCTCTTTCCTCCAGGACCATGACCTCATGAAATAAAGGGATACAGTCTTGTCACTGTAGATATATTGACACACTCTACAGTATTACAATGGCCTTGATTTGGTCTTCAAAAACCAAATATTTTGCAAGATATTGAAAGGTTTCCCTTAGAGAAATAGTTTATAAGTAGAAGAAAAGAAGACAAAATTCTAACTTGTGTTTTGGATGTGGGGGAGACTGAGAGGGAGAGGGAGCGGGAGCGAGGCAGAGAGATTGCATCCATAAATCCCTCAATGTAATGTTTGCAAGACAATTTCAGACAGGAAAGGTGAAATATTCACTTTTGCTAACAAACAGGATGGAGCAGGTAGACTGAGCTTCATTTGCCTCCCATACCTTGTTAAGGTTCCTCATCCCCTCAGCAATTCTCTCTGTTTAACTTAATGTTCCAAAAGTCACCTTTCAGAACAGACAAATTATCCATTCTGTTATGTCATATTCTCAAGGAGACTTAGCCGTAGCACTTCATTTGAGCATAAGAAGAAACCTTTTTGCCAAAATAAATGGTCTTTTATTTACAGACATATTTCCCTAGTGTTCCTCAAAGGGCTCATCGAAGCTGAAATTCCATCTGTCCCAGAGGTTGCAAAGGTCCAGCAGCCCATTTACAGAATGACGCAGATGCGTATTAAAGTAATAGCATGCATATCATTATACATAATTGTTAACTATAATTATAATCCTTTATTTCACTATCTTTCTAAATTGCCACCCTCTGTAATTTTTTTATCACGTCTGGCATAATTATTTTAGAGGTGCTGATTGCATTTAAAGAATAATATATTTGACTGGGGAGGGGGGAATGGTGCCGCAGAAAGATAAACTAATTGTTGCTTATTTTGTACTTGAACTTTGCAAAGTCATCTGCACCTGTACAGCTGCTGTGGTGTGATAGAAATGACTTTTAGATACTTACAGTTGTGTATGTAGAAGAAGAGATTCTTTAATATTATAAGTAGGTATTTATTTCTAATATATCCATTAGATGTACAACTCTGATAAAGTCTGAGCAATTTGGTCATGCAAGCTGAGGTTGAAGGGAAATAGCATTCAAAATAATTGAAGATTTAGGTTTTAGAAAGCTGCCTTAAATTGAGCCATAAACCATCTGGCTAATCTTTTGATTTGGTAGCGTGGTGGTAATCACAATGTTTATTTATCAGTTAGTATTAGGAATGGTCAAATTCAAGAAGATCTACAGCTATTACAATCTGATCAAGAACATTGGTGTTCTTTGAGCTTGGTTGTTTCTTTGCATAAGTGGAATGGGGGAGTTGCTGCCCATTTGTATATAGTAGCTTGCTATGTATAGTAGCTTACCCTGTTTTTAAAGTGGCTTTCCCTGTCAGACCAGGTACCAGCAGCACTGATAACAGATAAACAGATAATCAGAACTGGAAGGGACCTTGTAGGACATCTAGTCCAACCCCCACCCAAGCGGAAGACCCTCTGACAAATGGAAGTCCAATCTCTTCTTGAAAGTCTCAAGTGATGGCGCTTCTACAACTTCCAAGGGCAAGCTGTTCCGTTGGTTGATTGTTCTCACTGTCAGAAAGTTTCTCCTTATTTCTAGGTTAAATCTCTCCTTGTTCAGTTTCCATCCATTATTACTTGTCTGGCCTACAGGTGCTTTAGAAAATAGATTGACCTCTTCCTCCCTGTGGCAGCCCCTGAAATATTGGAAGACTGCTATCAGTCTCCCCTGGTTCTTCTCTTTACTAGACTAGCCAAGCCCAGTTCCTGAAACTGTTCATCGTATGTTTTAGCCTCCAGTCCCCTAATCATCCTGGTTGCCACATAAGCAGGACAAGGTACTGTAAATGAACTGGGAGCAAAGCAAACCCCACACTTACTAGTACTAATTATGTTACCTCATTGGGTAATGAAATATCTACAATCAAACAACCAAGCTCAGAGAGCACCAAGAACTTTGCATTTCAACCCTGAACTACTGTCAGTCACAAGGAACTAGAATGACACTGTGAGCTGATCAGCAAACTTGTTTTTACTGCTGTTTATCTATTTACACAAATTTCTCCAGACTGAATCCATTTTCTTAGGAACAACCAAATAAGGGCTCCAGGGATTTTAAGCTGGGTCAGATCCCTGTTGCTTCCTCCCCTGTAAGGTTTTCAAACTAACAAGTCTCTTAACTCCACCCTCCACAACTGCAAATTCTATTATCTTTCAACTGCTAATTAGCTGAAGATGTTACTCCAGTACCAGACAAGATATTAGATTATGATGGTGATGGTGGCTTTTGATGGTGGCTTATTATTTCGCCACCCAATTCCTATGTCTTTATATATAAATAAAAATATAAAATAGTCTCCACTGCAGTCTTTGTTCATTCTTCTGCTTTTTTTATTGGGGAAAATAATCCATCAGCACCAATAAGAGTTATTTACTCATTGCAAATAGAAAGTGTTGAATCATAAGAAGTAAAAGTAAAAACTTGTATTGCCAAGATCAGCATAGAAATATATGATTTTATATACAAACAAAAGAACAAAGGTAGAGCTCATGACTGGTCACACAACAAAGAAGTTGACAGACACAAAAGCAAGTGAAACCCATAGCAGTATATGATTTTGGTTACCCCAGCAGGCCACAGCTAACCAGAGATTTTAAAGTGGTGATAAAACTCATTGTTCATGAAACATTCCCTCAGGATTCTTCATGTATGATACTGAACCTGCAACACTTGGTATTGTTTCAAACATACCAAAAGTGTGAGAAAATCATCAAATCTGTGAAGTGCTTTGAAAAGCTATGAAATGCTTCAAAGCTACCTAGTTTGATTTGCTGATTCAAAGTGAGTATTTGAGCCAGCTTTGAGGGTTGATTTGATTGAAGCTTTCTTGCATTCAAAGCTTTGTTCTAATTCTAATAAACAGGAGTAGAAGCTTCAGGGTTTAAGCTGCTGCTCCAACTTTACCAACTCTTCCTAGACCAGTTCATTTCACTCCAATCTGAGGGAAAATATAACCTACTGTACTGTTATGCTGTCTCCTTCTGGAAGCTTTGCTTCTATGATTTGGGCAGCCATTTCCTTTGCAAGTATAGTTAAAGCAGAGATCCACAATTAGTAGATAGGAAGAAAAGAAATTTCAGCAAAACCTTAACTGAAACATTCCTCTTGATAAAGAGTATTTTGAAAGAGCATGTGACACAGATTAACATATTGATCAGTAGGGTTCTTTTCTTTTTCTGTCTTTCTTTTTACATTTTGGAAATATGTTTTCAAAAGATCACAATGAACTGAAATAAATAGTGGTTGTATGATACTCTCAGTACTGAGACTTTTTTTAAAAAAAATCTGGAGTAAGAAGAAAAAAAAACATGAAAAATGTAGGAAATAAAAGGAAATACTGTTTTCTTCCTGGAGTGAGCTGTCTATTTCTGAAATGTGGAATATTGATTGTACTTATAAGAGATCCTAACTCAACAGTCCAGTAATCACAGACAAGAGAAAGGAATGAAAGAGAATGGGAAAGTGGTTGACAAGAGAAAAATATTTCAAAAACCAACACATTTTAGCTAAGATTTCTCTTTATACAAGAAAGATATCTTACAGCCCCTTGCTGTGCTATCTTCTTAGTTCCCATTGTCCATTAATCTCTCAAGGTCATTCTTTGATCAAATTGTTCAGCAACCATAGTTGTCTTAGTCTGCTCATCCTGAAAATATTAATTATACACCTCAGAAACAGTTGTGCTGAACTTTGAAAGCTTACTTTGTTGGTTTTCGGGATCTGTTTACCTATGTACAGTACATGTATGCATATTAATATGTTAGAAGGACATAAAGTCTTACTGGAAAAAAAAAGAGAGATAATCTTAAAACTCAAGTTTTTTACTGATCTATAGTTGCTCTTATTTTTCTAAATGGGCAATGGTGTGTTTATGACATTTGATTCCATCCTACCTTTAGGTATTATTCCTAGACAGGCTGGTAGTGATATGTTTATGGAGAAGAACGTCAGAACTTTTTAATCTGGCATTTTTTTAAATTGTAAATTTGAAACAATCTATGCAAGCTCATGTGTAATCTTTCCTAAGCATTCAATGAACTGACTCCAAATTTCCAGTTCTTATCCATGATTTCCTTTAAAACAGGATGGAAAACATGTAGGAATTTGGGTTTTACTGGACGCTCATTAACCTCAGGCTATTAGAAGCTTTATTTCAGCAATATCTGCAGGGTACCAGGCTCAGAATCCTTCCAATAAAACCTTAGCTTCAATGGTTACCATTCAAGCCAGATTTTCATTTGCTTGGAAGAGAATACATGGGTTTGAACTCTTTGTGATCTGATTTGGGGCTGCAATGAAACTCTAGTCCCAGACCACTTCTTCAGACCCTTGAAGAGGGGCCAAAGTTGGTTCTTTTGCAGGATCCAATCTGGGTCAGTCACCAGGACCAGACTCAATCAAAATGTCCCAGACTCCCTGGACTCTATTGGAATGTTGAATAGAGAGAGGTTTCCTGAGGATGGGCTCCAGTATGAGTCCAAAAGCTCAGAAGAATAAAGCTCTGATCCCAGTGATTGAGCCATTATCTTGGAACAAGTATATATTATTTTTATTTATTTATTTATTTATTTTATTTTATTTGGTTTGTCAATTGCTTACAAGATAATAGGTATCAGTAAAAACATAGTTATGAATACATGGATACATCTAAGAAAAATAAAAGAAACAATAGGACAGGGATGGTAGGCACATTGGTGTGCTTATGCACACCCCCTACAGACCTCTTAGGAAAGGGGTGAGGTCAATAGTGGACAGTCTAAGGTTACAGTTTTTGGGGTTTGGGGAAGAAACCACAGAGTCAGGTAGAGTATTCCACACATTGACTACTCTGTTGCTGAAGTCGTATTTCCTGCAATCAAGTTTGGTGCGGTTAACCTTGAGTTTGTATCTATTGTGTGCTCTTGTATTGTTATGGTTGAAGCAGAAGTATTCATTGACAGGTAGGACATTGCAATGTATGTTTTTATATACTATACTTAGATCGGACCAAAGGCGGCGTAGTTCTAGGTTTTCTAGGTCTAGAATTTCAAGTCTGGTGGCATAAGGTATTATGCAATGTGTAGAGGAATGGAGAACTCTTCTTGGGAAATATTTCTGGACTTTCTCAACTGTGTTAATATCAGATATGTAATGTGGGTTCCAGACTGATGAGCTGTATTCGAGTATTGGTCTAGCAAATGTTTTGTATGCTCTAGTTATTAGTGTAATATTATCAGAGAAAAAGCTATGTAAGATTAGGTTAACAACTCTTAATGCCTTTTTGGCTATGTAGTTACAGTGGGCTCTAGCACTTAGATCATTAGAGATGAATATTCCAAGATCCTTGACAGAGTTTGGATACTCAACAAGGTCTTGACTATTCAGCCTGGTTTTTATTTTCTGATTTATTTTTGCCAATATGTAGGACAGAGAATTTATTTGTTGAGATTTGAAGTTGCCATTTGTTTGACCATTCTGATACATAGTCGAGGTCTTTTTGAAGGGCAGCAGTATTGTCTGTGGTGTTGAATAGCTTTACATCATCAGCAAAGAGAACGCAGTTGCTCTTTCTATGATCACAGAGGTCATTTATGTAGAGTATGAAGAGAATTGGTCCTAGAACACTGCCTTGGGGGACACCACTATACAGGTGCAGAATTTGATAGGATGCTCCCAATTTTTACCATTTGTTGTCTGTTTGACAGGAATGCTTCTATCCAGTTATGCAGGTGTCCAGAGATACCGTAAGATTTTAGTTTTAGGAGTAGTTTGTCGTGTACCACTGAATCAAAGGCTTTACAGAAGTCTATGTAGATTGTGTCTATTGCTTTGCCCTGATCGAGTTGTATAGTCCATTTGTTTTTGCAGTGTAAGAGTTGCAGATTACATGATAGTTTTTTCCTGAAACCAAATTGTTTATTAGAGAGTAGGTTGTTTGTCTCTAAATGGAGGTTAATGGATTGGTTAGTAATTGATTCCATGACTTTACAGGTGATGCAGCATAAGGATTGTGCTTAGAGGTTCTGCTATGACAGTGGATAGCTTTTTAAAGATATATATTATATTACTATTATATATTATATAATAAATATATATTATATTACTATTATATATTATATAATAAATATATTACTTTATATGCTGGCCCTTTTGCCAAACCCAGTTTATTTTTTATCTGAGGTATCATGGAAGAAATGAAAAAGAAAAGCAATTCTTTAAATTCAGTCTAATATGAACTATCAGGCAACTGATAGTCATCTTGATTACAGATGGGTGATGATAATACAGCTGATATACAGATATTTTGAATTTTACCATTTATCCACATTCACCTTTTTACATCATAGCATGCCAGGAGTATACGAAGAAGATCAGCAAATTAATTTAGTATACTTCTGCCTTGAAAAATGAGAATTAACATTTAGGAATGTCCTTGTCATTATTCAGGAGCATTTTATCTCATTGCACAGCTCTCTTCTCAATGTCTTTGTCTGAAATATGTTGTTGCTCAGAGAAAGGATTGTTACTCTTTCCACAAATGACTCTATCTACTACTGTATCTGTAACTATATATTATCAGTAAAAATACCCATACCTAATAGCTCTCTATCATATCTCGATCTCTCGATCTCTATCAATTTTAAAGGACTTCAGTAATTAAAGCCTCTTTGAAATTATGCTGGTATTTCCTGCGCTCGTAAAACTCTTGTTTGGAATAGTGTCCTCCCTTCCAGATGCAAAACTTTGTCTGTGTTCTTACAACATCATTAGCTGGGATTGTGTTTTGTCTTGTATGCAATGAACCCAGTTGACTCTTGCATCAGGAAGAAGCAATGATTAGTCCCCAACACCAAATCTTTTTCTGAATTAAAGTGCCTTTCTCCACTCAATGTGTTGTCCAAAAATATAGCCCAATGAAAAGGAGTAATTATCAAATGCTACATACTAAATTCTTCAATAAAAAAGGTAGGGGTTATGGAAAAAACCCACAAGCTCTTTATTATAGAATTCACTATCCAAATCTGGCATCCTTTTGAACATGATTTCCTAACATTAATGGACTGATCAAGCTATTTTTTTCATTAGGTTGCTGCTCTTCCTGCAAGCACATACCACTGACAATAGCTCCAAATGAGAAAAACCTATCAGCTTAAGCTCTGAAAAAAACCCAGCCACTACTCTGTTCCCAAATGTAGGCAGGGCTCCAAAGATGTCCAGTGTTGGCTGCCATATTTTTTTGCATGCCAATTGTCATTGCTTGTCCTGTATAATTTTCCCTATTTGGATATGTTTGTCCTGCCCCAATCTCCCCACCTCACCCCAATGACTTTCCTTATGCACTCACAAACAAGCGCTTGCTCACGGGTAATCCCCATTTGGATTTGCATGTATATGCACAATTTGTGCCACATAGTTTTCACCCTATATCGGGGCTGGCAAACTCCCAGCCCTTGGGCTGGATGCGTCACGCTCCGGCCATGCCCTTGCCTGGTTTAGCAAAGAGGGAAAAAAGTTCTGATACTTCACATGACACCATCGTGATGACATGAGTTTTACACCCCTGCTAAAAATTTTAGTTTATTTGGTTCCTTGTTTGCCTTTTCCCAACACCTTCCCTCTTCCTCCTTCCCCTTCTTTAGCCTGTAAACATTTCCATTTTTGAACAAGCTCTGGTAGTGACAGGTGAAAACAAAACACTGCAAGTGAGATCCCTCAATGGCCCTAGTCTTCCTGACAAAATACTTGAATTGGTAAAAGTGCACAAGTGGCTTGCGGAAGCCCATATTTAGTTTGCACTTAACGTGCTTGTTAGCCTAGTTTGTCATTTAGCAAGTGGACAGAATGAAAAGTGAAGATCTAACCAATCATGATCAACAGGAGTGCACTGAGCCAAGGGACACACATTTATTAAGCGACATTTCAGCAGATACAGGCATGCTGCAGTTTTCAGTTAGTATTTTCGCACCATGTACTGTTGCTTCAGAATAGAGTATTGTGTGTGTGAGGGTTGCACAGATTTCAAGGGAGTACTCAATCAAAGTGCTCCTTGGAAGTGAAATGATTCTCTATCTCTCTCTATCAAGACAGAAGGATCATCTTGCTCTGCTTTGTTCAATAACACATGATCTTTACATGTACAGATGCAGGTGTTTCTATTAATGAAGGATAGGACTGATTATGGTAGATGAGCCATGCCTCAAAATGGAGTTGAGACAGAATGATGTGCTTCTGTTAGGCAGAACATTTTACTGAGGCAGATTGTAAGTAATTTATGACCCACCCACCCCGGTAAAAGAGTCTACATGCATATATGTGTATGAGGATGTGGCTCTACTGAAATAGAATCAGCAGTAAATCAAGGATATTCTGAAACTGCACAACTTAACTTGATTCTTCTTTTGTCTTGGCAAAAGGCTAACAGAGTTGAATCAATTAAAGTAAAATTTCTTTGTAGTCAAGAATACTTATAGCACTGTAGCATTCGTTAACGAGATGCCTCGTTATATATCACTTAAATAGAAACATGAGAGGAAAGCAAATTACAACTGATTCACTTAAAACAGGGGTATCAAGCTCATGTCAACACGATGGGATCATGTGATGAATCAGGACTTTCCCCCACTTTGCTAAACTGGGCGTGGGCATGGCCAGTGCATGACGCATCTGGCCTGTGGGCTGGGAGTTTGACAGTCCTGACTTAAAATATTGTGTGTATGTACATTGTGTAGTATGTGCATCTATCTATCTATCTATCTATCTATCTATCTATCTATCTATCTATC